CATCGGAGCTGTTTGCAGAACGTCATCGATGGCAAAGTTGAAGAGGAATGGTGAAGTCGGTCAAACCTGCTTAACCCCACTGCTTGAATGAAGCAATGGGGAAAGGTGGTTGTATGCCCTCACTCTGCCTGAGGTGTTTGTATATAGGGCCTTTAGGATGTTAATAAACTTCTCAGGCACACCCTTCTTCAATAGACAATCCCAGAGAACAGTCCTGTTTAACTAATCGACGGCAGCACTAATGTCAAGAAACACTACGATTGTTGGCCTTTAATAAGTATGACGGTGTTCTAACATTTGGTGGAGGGTGAAGATATGATCAATACATCCTCGACCAGAACGAAACCCAGCCTGCTCCTCGCGAGTCAATCATTCTCGGGTTTTGAACAACCTACGAAGTATGACGGAAGCCAATAGCTTGGACGCAATCGGAAGTAGACTTATCCCCCGATATTTGTTACAGGAACGACGTGAACACTTTTTAAAGATAGGGACAACTATCGACTCATTCCATGACGTTGGTACACTCTCTAGTTCCCAAACTTTTTTAAACAACGTCATCAGTTCCTTAGTCAGAAAGTCACTACCATCTTTAAAAAGAGCCAGAGGTAAGTCATCTGGGCCAGGTGATTTGTAGCGCTTCAAGAGTTGGAGTTCCTTGCGGACTTCCGCCTCATTTGGTGGATCAGTCGTCACCGGCCATGGAGGGCAGGACAGTCTGACCGATGTTGCCGGAGCAGCCGGCCAGTTGAACTGCCCTTCAAAGAATTCTGCCCACCGTCCAAGACGTCGATGGATGTTAGTGATTGGCATCCCGTCATCCTCACAGACTGATTCGCTCACACCAGACTTCTTGCTGCCGTTGGCTCGGATGAGTTGGAAGAGCTTCCGGTAGTTACCAGATGCAGCTGCTGCTTCCAGCTCCTTAGCACGCTCCGACCACCAGGCTTCTCGGTCCCTATGCAAGCTTTTTCCGATTTCATTACTTAACATCCTTCGTTTGTGGCCAAACTCACGGTCATCCCGAGTAGACCGACGGGCTTCATTGAGTTGTAAGGAACCAGAAGAAACCCATTTTCATGGCGTCATGCAATTGCAACCAATGCTCATCTATACTTTTCAGTGGAATGATAGCTAGCCTAGAAGCTAGCTCGGTTCGATACTCACTTGTAACAGGAGTTGCAACCAACTTGCTAACATCAATCCGTTGGTGGTGGTCACTTCGTTGGCCACTGAAAAGTAAGGTAAGATTGGCGCAGACCAAGGCATGGTCAGAGTCCAGATAGGTACTCCAAAAGAAGCGGCAGTCTTGTACACAACCACGCCAGCGGTAGCTGACCGCGATGTGATCAATCTGAGTCCAGGCTTGAGATGCAGAGGGAGGACGCCAGGTGGCACATCGACGATGACTGTGCCGAAAGTTAGTGCTAGCCAGAAACAGGTTGTGGTCTGTGCAAAGTTGCAGTAGACGGTTCCCGTTATCTGTCCTGCGACCAACAAGTCCCCATCGGCCACCTCAACGACTCTCTTCTGTGAGAAGAACAGATAACTGGTGGTAAAACTCATCCTTGATTGCATTCAGGCTGCAGTCTGTCGGAGCATAAGCGGAGATGACGAAAAGACATCGTTCCTCACGCCAATTTCTTCTCATTTTCACGGGACTTTCTAGTCTAACAGCACATAACCGACTGTTAATGGGGATCCAATCGATGAGTGCTGCCTCAGCTCTAGCGCTTAGTGCGACACCAACGCGAGCAAGACCAGACGCAGATGCCACAGGGTCCCTGGATAAACGCACGTAAAACAAGCTTTTGGAAGCGACAGATGGCGATCGAATTTGTAGTACTTCACCAGAATCTTGAATACGGGTCTCGGATAGACAACAAACATCGATATTAAGACTTTTCAAAGACACAGACAGACCTATCTGTTGTCTGACCTGCGTAGGTGTGCGAACATTGAAGGCAGCCAGTTTGAATGGTGCACGTGGTTTCAGAAAGACTGTTTCAGTATTCGTATTCGGTGGTAGCATACAATTTTTAGCCAGACAGTGACTCAAGAACGGTTAGATAGAGCCGAATTTCCAGCATAGGCGAGCTGCTGTATACGTTGAAAAGTAGGGATATACAGAGTGGGAATAAAAGAGAGTGAATAAATGACGTAGTAAACAATAATAATAATAATAATAATAATAATAATAATAATAATAATAATAATAATGTGAATCGTTCGATTATTAATCGAAGCAAGAAAAGTATTTTCCATGATTATCGACAGTTCACCATATTTGTGTGAGGGCTGTGATACTACTCGGGTGCCCAGACCGAAGCAGGTGGTTTTCTTAGGGGGCCACACTTCGGACCTTTGACCTAAAGATCTAACCCAGAAGGCAGATTGAATAAAATAAAATACAAAGTAGAGAAGCAGTGGAGTTATGGCTAATTACCAATCTGCCAAAACTTATCCAATAATTTATGAAGAAATATGTCATTATATTAGACAAATTTTGTTTTTTATATTCAATTAAAAATGCAATCAATATATTATATAGCTCTCTTGTTTAGACGACTAATTTTAATAAAAGTCTGAATACAGTTTGAGATTTCAAGTCTCTAATAGATCAATAGACCTTTGAATGGAATGTGACGTGTTGTACACAAAAATAATCACAGAGTTTCAGTATTATTATGTGAAAAATAACAGTGCTCTAGTAACTAATAGATCAGTAGAGAGGTAGAAAAACTATTACTTAGTACCAACATGAGTTTTGTAATTTTTGATATTGCATAACCTGAAAACACTTCACATCGAAAGAAAATTCACACAGCTCAACGTTTGATCTCGCAAGTTCGTTCCAACACACTAACATTAAGTGAGGCCGTGGTGACGCTATTTTCTCTCTCGTAAACAAACCTAGACGGAATCAAAAGTTTGACTAATTTCAAGTACGTTTTCCGAAGCCTCATCATACAGGCAACAAGCTAACATTTCGGATTATAAACGAACCCATATTACTTATTCACTTACTTACTTACGCCTGTTACTCTTCGTGGAGGAGCATAGGCCGCTCACCAGCATTTTCCACTTAACCCTGTCCTAGTCAATCCTTTCCGGCTCTTTTCAGTTGTTATTCACCATTTTCATATCTGCTTCTATTTCCCGACGTAATGTGTTCTTCGACCTTCCTCTTTTCCGTTTCCCTTCAGGATTCCAAGTTAGCGCTTGTTTCGTGATGCAGTTTGGCGATTTCTGTAATGTATGTCCTATCCATTTCCATCATCCTTTCCTAATTTCCTCTTCAGCTGGGAGCTGGTTTGTTCTCTCCCTCAATAGGCTGTTGCTGATGGTATCCGGTCAATGAATGTTGAGTATCTTGCGAAGACAACTATTTATAAATACTTGTACCTTCTTGATGATGGTTGTAGTAGTCCTGCAAGTTTCAGCTCCGTACAGTAGGACTGTCTTGGAGTTCGTATTGAAGATTCTGACTTTGTTATTGGTTGATAGTTGTTTTGAATTTCATATGTTCTTCAAATGTAGGAATGCGACCATGCTTCCATAATCCTCGCCTTTAATTTTTCTGGTTAGCGTTTTTTTAGTGAATTAGTTTCTTAACCCCATGCTCAACCCTCCTCCTTTACCCGGGCTTGGGACCGGCAGTAACCCAAGGAGAGCTACAGGCGGAGTTGAGCGAACCCATCGGGAATCATTAACTACTTATGTGATAATAAAAATAAAATAAAAAATAATAATAATATATCACTTCGAAACTGTAAGAATGAATAACTTTGCATTTCATTTGTACTTCAAACTTGTTATTCATTTGATGGATTTAAGGAAAGTGAAAATGATAGTGGCTGTTGCTCATAATTTACAGTTTTTAACATCCAGAATGAAATAGGAGAGTGGAAATTTCGCCTTAACCAAGTTTGAATTTGATAGTTGTTAGGATTGTATTACCAAATCTATAAGGTACACAAGCAAGACTATAATTTATGGACGAAGCAATCAGGTATAATAAAAAGGTCCTAGATTTTGGTGCGAAATTCTCTCATCCATTTGGTAATATACCGCTTTAACATTATAACTGAAATCGGTTCGTGGCGTTTGAAGCGAACGGAACCATGTTCCAATTCAGGAGTGAACATCAATTCTGAGTTTCAGGTACATCCATCTCGCGAGTCCCTAATTGGACGAAACGCGAGTCCTGTATCTCACTGCTAATCACCATCTATCTGTGCTTATTATACCTGTAACTTAAGGCAATATCGAGACAACCTGCACGAAATGCACATATGTTGAATGGGATTGGCCAGTTGCAGTCCTAAGCCTCCATATGAGGATTCAAAAAACAATGCGAAAATGGATTGTGTTAGTAATGGTAGAACATAAATTACGCGCATCTCCTTGGTACAACACTTTTTTTCTTTTAAAAAATATTAATTTCTACTATGTTATTATAGTGTCGTACAGATAGAGTTTGTCAAATGTGATGAACAAATCTGTCAGTGAGATTAGTCTAGAGTTGTACATAATGGCTTCATTAATTCTGAGAAGGAACCGAATCAAGCGATATTTCTGTTGGATTTCAGTGGTCAAATAAAACCTCCAACTTTCACTAGAATAAATGATAGTCCATCAAAGTTTAGTAATTGTTTAATTGATCACGTCTTTTTGTTTTAACAACAAGACTGCTTTGAGATAATAATTTAAGTATCCAAAAATTTATTCAACCTACATAATATTGATTGTGATCATAAAATGTAGTGAATCTGAGAGTAATTGAGATGTAGTTTTGTTTTTCTCAAAGAAAAATTGAATTTGCAAAAAGATAACATCGTTGTTTACCATTGAATACTTACTAAAAGAGGTTACAAATTAATTAAAACTGTTTGTTTTATCATCCACGTCACCCGTAAAATCTATATAAGTTGCTCTGTGAACAGAATAATACCAAAACCTTAATGGAATTTGCTTCCGTTCTGCTTATTTTTAAGAAAATGTCGTTACTGCTTATTATTTTGTATTTGTTTCTCTTGAAGGACAGACTTGTGGAATGTTTGGTAGCACAAAACTATGCCGTAATTTTGTATTCGATTCAATAATTGTTATTACAACTATTTAAAGAGTGACAGTGAAAATCTTAAACCTAATATACGTCGAAGAAGTGAATTCATCGTTGGTGAAAAATTCCGTGTCCGAGTGGTTCTGAGTGAAGATTTAAAAAACCATTTACAGTATGATTTATTCAAGGTTAGTCAACCATAAGAATGTTATTTGCAAATACATACACGTTTTGTATTTATACGATAGCCCAGTCGTTTGTAATTGTGCATTACATGCTTTTGTTCCAAGGTTAATTCATCATTTATAGCCCCATGTTACTCATTCTATATAAATTTTATCTACGTAATGCACCAAACATAAAATGTGCGATTAAGTTTGTGGATACATTTCGGTCTAATATTTAACGCATTGTTTCACTTTTTATTGTTACACTTTTCAAAACTTGTACATAGATTCAAGAACATTAGTCTGTTTAAAACGTTAGTTATTACAACTGACTTCAAGGATTCTGACATATGCTTTTAAATACGATTTATGTATTGTTTAATGGTCATGCAATACATACCAACTAAATACAACATTCGTGTTCTCACAGATGGAAGGTATAATTGAAGAAGTTGAAGTTTATAAGACATTTAATGGACAAATTATTTTATCTAAACACTGATCTCAGAACTGATAAAAATGTTAGGCCAGAAATACGGGAAAACTGCCTAATCAAATGTAGTGTTATTTTTCGGACAATATTGTCTTCTTAAAACTACCACAGTAAATTACTACTATGCAAATATAATTCAGTCAGTCAGTCAGTCAGTCAGCTACAACGTAGGACCAGACGCACATCTGTATCAGTCCACATTGTCACCCCTCATAAGCACAAGAAGGTGAACGCCGAATTCATAGAAGCAGTTACTTCAATGGTATTAATATATAAAAAACATTGTGCATATTGACATAGTACAAGAAGAATGAATTAGTTCGTGGAAAGAAAGGTATTACCCAATTTTAATCTCAGTGTTTAAGGAAAGACAGACAGTGTATACACCAACGCCATTGTGATCGATTTTGAGCCATGTCACCTGGAGTCTTCAACCATTGGTTATGATAGTCATGCGGACCCCAACCAAGTAGTCGGCATCTACCAACATGGCTCAGACTACAAGATAGTAACTTCAAGGACCGATCCCATGTTTTGGTTTGGCCGCCCCTAACCTTCCTCCAACTATCCACAACACTAGTCAGCATTGCTCGTCGTGGTAATCGGTGTTCAGGCATACGTAACACGGGGCCCAACCGTCTCAATCGACGAAGACTCGCAACCTCACCAACTAACTTACCATCATTCCACAATACCTTGATTCTAACCTCACTATAACTTACCTGGTGAACCCAGCTGATACGAGAAATGTTTATGTGACATGTGACATGATCAAATACTAGTAACTTACAAGTATCTTCTACATGTTTCGCAGCCGTAAAGTAGAACAGAATGAACTGTCGCACAGTATACTCGCCGCTGAATTGATAGATCGATATCTCGCCCTTACTATGACTGACATATTGGCAAAAGCCAAACGAGCTTTTGAGTCCATGCACAGATTTCGTCAGACACCAACACATTTGGGCAGATCAGACTTCCAAGATATTTAAAGTCGTCGACGTATTCAACTACTTCATTCCCTATCCTTAGTTCATGTGATCATGCAGCCCAATCCTGAAGCAACGACGTGAATTTCAAAATAGGAAGAAACGCATCCCAAACGTCTTGGCATTATTGCTCAGTGCTACCAAACACTCTGCATTTTATCAGCGTCTTCGCCAAACAGGACTATATCATCTGCGTATTCTAAGTCGGTCAGTGCACCTCCTGGTGGGAGATCTATTCCTTAAAATTCAGTCGACGAAGACACTATTTCCAGCAGTAGGTCCATGATGAAGTCGAAAAAATTTAAATAGTGGACAACCTTGTTCGACGCCACCAGAGGTTGCAAAATCAGATGACAGTTCGTCATAAGCTCTGACTCGACCAGTGGTGTTTGAGTAAAAGTCTTTCACAAGGTTTATGTACGTCTGAGATACACTATTCAATGAGAGACAATGCCACGGAACCTCTCGATCTATAGAGTCAAATGCTGCATTTAAGTCAAGAACAATCATCATTATCAATCGCCAATAAGCATGCCTGTCTTCTAAGATCAGATGAATGGCAATAAAAAATCAGAAGGACATCAAGTACAAAGGAACCTGAAAGTGAAATTAGGTTAGAGGTGGTCTTAGTGAACTGAGAGCGAAACCGCAATGCTCAACTGCCTAAGTTCGGTCACTCACGACCTTGTGTGAGTAATTTCCTTGTTAACTCCGTAATTGTTTGGAACATACCGACGGAGACAGATATCCGTGGGATAAGGCATGATGTGCATTTTCACGGTCGACCTATTCTAATTCCAGCCCTCCTTGTGGGAAGGCAGCATCGCTTTTATGCTGGTTGTCTGAAAGAAAGCTCTTGCTTCCGTGACACCTCTGTACAGTTGGAAGTACGACTTCACCCTTGGATCACAGATTTGCTGCTTTTGGTCTTACCGCTCTTCAACCGACCTGTCTGGCATGGTAGGACCTTGAGGAACTATTGTTCCAGCCAGTATAGCTCGACTGGTTCACCATGATAGGCAAGCCAGATCACCAAGCTAAGGTAACAGGAAAGGCCGGGATTTGATAAGTGTATGATAACTATCAATACATTGAAAATCTGACACAAGTACATTACTATGAGTGTTTTCGAACGATAGGCACCAGGTCTTTACCATAGAATGTGCATTGCACAATTTAGTCAATGATGTTTCAGCTTGGGATTCGACAACACTTCAAATCCAGTATAATTACGGTTAATAATTTATTCATCAATAAACCATCAGTTTAGATGACTAGTCGTCTATGACCATTTCAGTTCAGAATACTGGTAGACTAATTTGGGTCACCGATTTCGTCACTCCACTTTGTTCTTCCGAAACAATTATAAAACAGTTGAGAACCAATAAGATGTATGACTCGTTGATCTGTGATAATCATTATTATGGAGTACTGAGAATCTCACCAAGATTAACAGTCACTGAATATTCGATAGTCTTCAAAACTAAACCTGTTTTCATCTTCTGTTTGATTGGAACACTTTTGTGAATTGCAGAGGCAGGTCAAAGATGCTTTGATATTCTGGACAAAGGCAATACAACCGAAGCGAATCTCCACCCAACAAATATTAATAGAACGGTTAGTTTATTAACAGTCATACAAATTGGGTAATTTCCATGTTGTGATATTGTTAGGATTCTCTTTGTTGCAGTTGACCTGTCATCCTAAACATTTATACTGATATGTGATGTGATGTTTGTTCATAGAACAAACCACCTATATCTTCTGTCTGTTCTCTTACGGAAGTAAACTTGTAGTGTATTAGGGTCATCACTTTATTATACCAACGCCAACATCATTGAAAGTCATAAAACTCATCTGCATCTATGACACAAGCTATTTAGGATTTGTCAAACATGTCTTTCAATTAAGTTGACTAAATCAACAACATTTAGCAGTGTAGCGATGGTGGCAAAATTATAACAAAAATGCACTCTACTCCTCTAACGGTACGCGTGTCTCAATCGTTTCAATGCACTGTACATCTGCGAAGTAAAGTTGAACACTTTCCACGTTTTGTGAAACCTTTTGAAAGATGCTAAGACATTTACCGGATGACTGGCGAACGTACAGTTTGTGAATAACCACTAAAATCTGGTTATTATCACACCTATTACAAAAAGAAACTAGAACAACATATTTATACATTTCACTGAAACTAAGACATTGATGTTACAAATACTTTTGAATTTAGAGTGAACTGATAACAGCAATACAGCAATACAGAGCGCATTGTTCAACAGATTACTGTCATCATAGTAAGCAGACAAACGTACTGTTATTTTGTCCATCAACAATCCATCCAGTGTGATAATGCGTCCAAGAACATTACCAGTCATCAGCTCGGTCAAATAGTTTACTGGGTGCTATCGGTCAGAGTGTGGAGGAAAGCCAGTGCTGATGCGATAAATTGCATTGTTGGGAGAGGATTCCATTCCTACAATTGTTTCATTCCCAATCACTGTGTTCTGAACTCTCTGCATAGTGTCAGGGCTTTCATTAAGCAGACATCTCTTCACACCGTATATCCAGAGGTCGAGTGGTTTCTAGGAAGAGAGTCAACCAGTGAAAACCCGAACTAAGGAGGTAGTGTTTCGAGAACATCTCTGACAGAAATGAATTAAGTTTGAGTAGAGTACAGCCTCGATATAAGCAACAGGTGGTTGTCAATGCAGTTGGTAGCTGATTGTGTCCATTATTGTTTAAGCAACGAGAAGTTAGAAATTTATTGTGTTTTGGATACACCTCAGAGGTAAACAATGACACAAAACATTGTGGTCGACGGTGGTCAACTTCTTGAATGTGTCATTACACAATGATGTGTACTCAGAGTGATAAATAAACATTTCTTTTCCTGTTGTTTATTCTCCTTTCGAATACATTAGCAATTGCAATGAACGAGTTCGATCACAAATGCGGCCACAATATCATTACTGCGAAGGTGGTTGTAACAACGTGTCGATATGTAACGGTTTTGAAATCCCCGAGAAGTATCTTCAGGTCAGTTGCCCAGTCGAAACAATTGAATATTTTTCGTACCTTAAGCGTGAGGATTACATCCCACCCATCACCAGGAAAAATCCAATTTAGTGTAGGCAATAATCAATTCCATCCTCAACAATCCTATGAACAACATCAGTTATGACTTCACACGAAATATGAATTGCAGATAGTTTATAAGTTCTTGATTCGTTACCTCTGGAGTATTTTGTCAGTTCACAACACTCTAAAGTGTCAGGGGAAAGTAAATCACGTCTCGATCAACGTTATTTCCAAAACATTACAGTGTAGTTGGCGTAAACCCAGATGCGGTAAATCTACTTATTGCTTACACAGTTACCCTAGTGAAATAGGAGAATCGTGCATTAAATACATTATTTGCACATCTTCATTCAGTTTTCTTTCACATACTTTGTGATTCTTTAAATTCTGTCGCTGTTACATTGTTATTTGTTTGCCTTCCTGTTCTCTTCAACTCCATCTTGTGCTGGCAGGTATCCCACTTCCGACTGCTGCTACATGTTACTTTTATCTGTTGGCATAGTTAGCATATACCACAACAGGATCACTAAACGTTGCATATGAATTAACATGAAAGTTATTTCAGTTGGTGCCCATTAGCATCCAGTAAGATACATTTCCGAATGTCGCGAATTTTATGTGATAAAATTCTTGCTACCAAACACGTACGCTAGGAAATCTCACTGCATCATACAGATAAATAACCGAGCTGTCAAACTTGTCAGTTATCAATGTTATCGCTAGTCTGTTTCGGTGTGGTTAACTTTTCCATTAAATTTAATTATTACCGGGCAGTGATCATGTCAGACACTGTATCATTTTCAACATCACTCTGCATATTTTTTTCTCCGTAATAATGCGAAACAGTTAATAATTGTTTTAAAAGTTAAAGGAACTCTGGGAGACACCCACACAGTGTCGCATGATGGACTGTCATTCTAAACACAAAGGTGATTTGTGCTCATTATCGAACATAGTTGAGGTACAGAGATTTGTTATCTAATTTAGATTCTATCAATCCACACCGGCTGAGGAAGTGAAGCTTCACCGGTCGTGTTGTTAATCGGTATTTTAACTCGGTTATTGGGATTTTTCATGTACTATGAAGGTCACCCTTGAAACAAGAAAACACTGATTTCCAGCTTCGAACAACTTTAAGTGTACATAATAATAATCATTGGATCGGTTGTGACAACAAAAGTAGCTTAAAACATTTCGAGTACAATTTTTACGTTTTGTCCTCTGACAACTTTACGCAAACCTTTCTAATGTTCCGACTCTATAGAAATGTCGTTCATCTGAAGAAGATGTTGTGGAAAAAGTCCAAGTCAAAAAGTCAGACAAAAGTGACTTTATTCTTTTTATCCGCTCGGGTGATTATGGACCTCACACATGGTTGGCTACAGCTGACACTTGTCAGCTGGATTTAGACACAAATAGGTAAGTAACAGATCGGTTGATGTGTGAAAATTATTGTTTGCGTTCGGTTAAAATCTAATACTGAGATTAACTTATCCAAATTTTAGTACCACAGATGTTCTTGAATTTTCTTTTTCAAATCATTCAATTATCACAACGTCTTAATTGTCTACTGACAATACGGACAAAACGCTGCCAAGCGTAACAAACAAGTGCAATGATTACTTCACTACCTCTCAAAAACCAATATAATTCAGATAACACGTGAGTCAAGAAATTAAACTAGTTCGTGGTCTCACAGATATCGTGTTAAACATTGAGATCAAAAATGTTACTTCTTCAAACTCAGCGTCATATGCAGTACACTAGAACGAAAATTGCATTCTCTATTAGCTCTTCACTTGACAATTTTAACTAACAGATTTTCTGAACTGGCTACGATTATTCACTTATTGATTTTATACGGCCGTCGTCAGTGTTGATGAAACTTTAAATTGTGTGGCTCGATTTTGTGAAACAGGAAACACTTCTATACATGTGGTTAGCATTTGAGCGAAACCATCACAACCATTCGTGATGCCAGTGTTGTCCTGAGTTAGGATTTTTGAACGGTTCACTGAAAACGTAGTGCAGTGTTGTGATGCAATTACCTGATCCGGTGGTGGGGTGTTATCATGATCAGACATAAAAACTAGGATTGAAAAGAACAGTTGCATGTTTCTGATTCACTATGTACAGTTGTATTAGTTATATAGAAAACAATTTAGGAATCTTTCAATCACACGACAAAAATCTACTTGTTTTCAAAACACTGTTTCAGTCAAAATTTATTTGAAATTTATAAGTTACTGCATCTTCTTTCTGACTTTTCATTACAAACTACCAATGCTCTGTGATAGAATAGCTTCCGTTGTTACCGCAGTTACCTTAAATGCTGTCAACTTTTCAATGATTCGAAAGCTTTTCAGTTATTACGATTTATGCCACTTATCATTTACATTATTCCGTGCCTAATAATTGCGATTGTATTATTTTTGTTTGTAAACAAGACCAATCGCCGGTTCAATTGCAATTTTATCAGCTATGAAATATATTGATTACAACCCAGGTGTATTGAAACGAGTTATTATTCATGAATTAGGACATACATTCGTGAGTGAAACAACTATTAATTACACAGTTTACTTATTTTTGTATTGTATTCTTGTAACGATAACCATTGAAGTCACTACACAATGTGCACAATGAAACAGTATTAATAAATTATCATTATCACCTTACTCACAGTTTCGGATAATTTCTCAGGTGTAGTAACCCGCGTGATTTGCAAGGACCTGTAAACTGAAGAACAATTTCACAGCTGTAGTTACATACTTTTGTTACGTTCCATTGTGTGCAACAGAACGTTTTGTTAAGAAAAGTATTGGGATGCTAACAGTCGTTAAACTTTCGTGAATTCATTTTAACAAACGATTGAATGCCTTTAAATTTATCGAACAGATCAAGTGTATTGTTTTACTCCACTTCCGATGAGGATGTTAAGAAAATAGCAGAAAATAGCAATAATAAACAAAATTATTTGACATATGCCTCTTAATGCCACTGTGAGACTCGTTCAAATGATTTCAATCAATAATAAAATATTATTTTATTGAACAGGGCTTCGATTATCGGTTGTTTCCTTACCTACGTCATGATGATGGTAGTCCTAGAACAAAGCGTAACCAACATACTGGTGAACCGGAATTGCCAACAGATGCCAACGAAGGATTAAAAGCTGATCGGTAAGGAACATTAAAAACACTACTCGACTCTCTGTCTTAACATCTTGCGTTGACACAACACTGTCTTATTTAAAATACATAAAGCGATGAAGTTCCAAACTCTTTCTCGAATCCAACTCATAGAACACTTTCTACGTAATTATTGAAAATACTCCAGTTTCCTCAAATCATGCTCAACTTTTTCATCCGAACAGTTCGTTTATAGGGTAGATAAGTATTCCATTGCAAATTACTGGCATGAAGTAACTAACTCAATCAGTAACCGGATCATCAGTTGCTCATTGGCAACGAATCGACTCCATTATGAATGACAATGAATGAATCATGGAATGTAAATTTCCCACTCAATTCCCAAATTGTTCTGGGACTGGTCTCATTTGGCATGCGCAGTATTAAAAGCCAAATACCCATTGATATGTGAGAATTTCAGTTCAGATATTCAGGTTAAGACAGACAGACAGACAGACAGAGTCTATACAAGCAATATAACCTTTTATTATCTTAATACTATTCACATATCAGATCAAATGACTGACTTTTCAAAGTACATTTCAAACGTTGCAGTATCAATTTACTTATTGGAACCTTGTTTTCAGAAATACTATAAAATACGTGTCCAGGACATGGCATACAGTCGCCGGTGAGAAGACTTACAAGAGAGTCGCATTAACATTACCAAGTGTAGTCGTAAGTATATCATTGACTTTACACATATTTCACTGATTCTGTGATGTTTTATTGTGGTTTACTCCTAGAGCTTGTTTTATTGGCATATGAAGAGAGAAAATGTTTGTTAAATTGATTAATTTGTTCTCTCTCGCCTTAATTAGATAAATG